ACGTACGTACGTACTACTACTACTTACGTTTACGTTACGTTACGTACGTACGTACGACAGACGTCTCGAGTCGTAGTAGTGGTAGGAGAATTTTGTGCTCTCTGGTCATCTTAGATCATGGTCGCCAAATTTCAGATGGCCCCTCAATGATTTCACTAACGACGAATCTGGGGCTTTGGCAGAAATTCTTCATCCTATCTTCCTTCCAACCTCTGGTGATGATAGGATTAGTTTGGAACCATCACCCTTGGGGATGTTCTCGGTTCTTCCTTCTTTTGCTCTTTCACCCCCACCACTGCTAGCCCCAATATTTCTTGGCTATCAAGAGCTTGGAACTCTTTTTTGCCCTCTAGGATCCAGGTTTTTTGCTGGATAGCACTCCAGAGTGTTGACAATTGAAGAGGAATGCAATGCCCTAATAGATGTTCCTTGTGCATGGAGGATGAAGAAACCAATGCACACTTATTCCTTCACCGCGATTTTGCCAAAGAACTGTGGACCTATCTGTTGGGTCTATTCCAGTGGACTTGGGTCACTCCTAGCTCCATTTTGCACTTGTATCATGCTTTTCTCTACACTTGCTGGCCCAAGGCAGGAAGAGAACTTTGGAAAGCATTATTTTCAGCCACATTGTGGGTTCTGTGGATTGAAAGGAACCATAGGATATTTAGAGGAGAAAGATCTTTGGTTGGGGCTTTGTCTGACAAAGTCAGGACCTTAGTGGCCTTTTGGGCCATGAACCATAGCTTGTTTAAAGGAATCCACTTAGCTGATTTTTATAAGAACTGGCACAACTTACTCCAGGGGGCTAAGCCAACTATCTCAATATCTTCTCTTTGGAGATCACCCGAAGTAGGCTTCATCAAGCTCAACTTTGATGGCTGCTCCGTTGGGACGTCCCCCCGGTGTAGGTGGGCTCTTTCGTTCATTCGATGTAGAGATCTTGCACGCCTTTTCCTGCCCCATTGGCCTTGAGGACTCAACTGTAGCTGAAGCCATGGCCCTTTTAAAAGGTCTACGTAGATTTTGCGTCACCTGGGGTCACATCCTGGTGGTGGAAGGGGACTCTTAAGAATGAAACATCCCATTGGTCGTCACGAGACATCTCAATCTCGTGGTGCCATATTTATCGGGAGGGCAATTCCGATGCTGATTATCTTGCTAAACAGGGAGCCTACTCTAATTCCCCAGGGGGGCTTTATTTTTTGTTAGATCTGCCACATCCCTCCTTGGAGTTGGAACTTCTTTTGCACCATTTTTAATACCCTTTGGGGTTGTCTTGGGTGCCCTCTAAGAGGGTCCCATTTTGTGTACATTTTATTACTCAGTAACATAATTATAGTGACCTCCTTTTAAAAAAACTATTTGAGGTTGGCTGCTAGAGATGTAGCAAAAGTTTTATTCTGGCTGCCAACCTAACAGATTCTTTAACCTAAAATTCATATCTCTGTTTCACCATAAAGTCATTCACAAGGGGTTGGGTGGCTGGTGTTAATATTTTAAATTGACTGTACATTTTCTTTAATTACTTTTGCGATTGTACATTTTTGATGTGTTTGTTGTATTGTGTGGGTGTGCATGGGTGTCGCTGTGGGTAGCAAGTGTGGTTGTCCAAATTTATCCTTAAATTATTTCTTTTAGTTATAGATTCATTAATATGAAATGTGGTGAAATTTATATATTTACACGCCATGAAAGCAAGGAACCATGGCATTATATGTTTGGAACATAATCCAATCCAATTTGCGAGATTTGAAAAATGCCATCTCATTGAAAGCTTCCTCTGCCATTTGTCAAGGCATTTATTTTGGAATAGGATTTCATTTTTTTTCCTCATCCTGGATGGTGAATAACTCTGGACATGGAGTATGAATCAAACTTATGTTTGAATTGAAAGTGAGATACTGATGACACAAGTTCGTCCTTTTTGAATTAGATAGATTCATATCTGAAAGTATGAAATGGACCACTTCATGGACACTCGAGTATACTATCGTATGATACCTGCTTGCTGATAATTGCTCTTGTGAAACGTGAGATGGTAAAAACATTTAGGTTGCTGCTTTGTTACTCTCTTGGCAGCTTTTATGTCTTTAATGATTCTATTTTTTTTATTATTATTTAACATGAAGTTTGTGGCGCAAAGGATCGCCTGAGTTTGTTTTCATACTTCCTTTTTGGTTTTTATAATAGATAATTCGTCCTTCTACTTCCAGCTTTTTTCTCATTGTGTTGATAAAACTTCTGTGTTCTAGAACCTCAAAGACCCATCCAAGAAATTGCCAAAGGTCTGATTGGTTCTTTTCTTTCTGCTAAGGTATGACTTTTTATTCTGACTTGGCATATTTTGTTATTTTAGTTGTTTGTTTCTTTTTTTTCCCCAACTCTTTACATGTTAGAAGTCCTTTTCTGATTTTAGAATTGCTTAGTAGTCTCCTTTAGTTTGCAAATCAATATTGCATCCTACCAGCTCATGTTATTTGATTCTCTGTTTAAACTTGTGTGTTATAATTTTCATTGTTGGCAGAAAGTATAGTGTTGTCTATGTATCCATTTAATGTTAATTGACCCTTTTCTCACAGGCTCCATATTTTGGGCTCACAAAGATAGTATTTATATGATGAAATACTATTTGTAATTTTATTCAAGCTGGATATTGTGATTCTTAACTTGATAGACAAAACAACAATAATTGTATACAACTTAGGACTAGTGGCATACACTGTAAATACAATTACCTTATTGTGATTCTTTAGCCGCAACGTTGTGGACCATCTGGCTCGAAAGAAAGTCGAGAATTTTCCGTGGTATAAAAAGCGAACTCTCAGCTATGTTCCACAAGGTTACTTCGATGGTAATCTTTTGGGCTTCCAACCACAATCTGTTCACTGGGATTTCGGCGGCTAGTTTCCTTCGCAACTGGGTGAACTTTATTCAACTAACCCCTCACCACAACCCAAGAGTATTGAACTGGGACACCCCCCCGGTGAGTGATATTAAGTTCAAATTTGATGGATGCTCCTCGGGAAATCCAGGCCCAGTGGGAGCAAGAGTAGTCTTCCCTGACCATAATGGTGAAGTCATCTCATCCTTCTCAGAACACCTTGGTCACAAAGACTCACAGTTCGTAGAGGCCATGGCTCTGTTGATGGGAACCAAGAAATTTAACCCCTCCTGGGGCCCACGGCTGCTCATAGAGCGAGATGCCAAAAACATTATGTCCTGAGGCTAGAAAGGCCCCTCCTCCTTGGTACTTAGCACACATTATTGATGAATTTGAGCGTACTTGCAGAGGTATAAACGTCTCATGGACGCATATTTGGAGGACGTCCAACAACTTCGCAGATCTCGTCGCCAAGGAAGCCGCTAAGAACCAGCCTCTTGCATACGTCTAGATGCGAACAATAGGGAGTCCATTATCGCTAGCACGGCGGGGAGGCCTCCGCTTTCTAGATTGTAGTCTTCTATCTTGTAATGGGCAAATTCTATAAGCCCCTATCTTTTGCTTCATAGGTAATGTTAGAGCCAGTCTTTTAGAACAGGTCACTCCCTATTGACCAATTTTTGGTTGAGAGACCCAGTATGTGGGTTACCTCGACCCTTACTTTTGTAAAACTCTTATTATTATAATATTTACCATTAACATTTAAAAAAAAAAGAAATTCAATGTTTAAAGACATTACATGTTCGTACAATGATTAAAATGACCTATATATTTTAACTTTAACTTAAACTTGGTAATAACATTATAACAGTTTCACCCCTGTGAACAGTACCTCATGAAATAAAAAAAAGTAAAAACATTGGAATCTGAAAAAACTAAAAAACCCTAGAAAAAAACCCTAAAACTAAATTTATAATATATATTATTCGAAATTGAACAAAAGTTAAAAATAAAAATAATTTTGCCCTCCATCAAAAGCCCTAATTGCTTTTCACTTTGTTGCTCATTAAAACTGAACTACTGATTGTTTCCCTTCTTTCTTCTTCCTTAAATTCTCTTGCTCTTTTGCACTTTCTTATTATATTAATAATGGTCTTGTCATCTTCTTCTACTTTTGATGGTCTTCCTAATTCTCAACGCATACCTTAAACTATTTGCTTGGAAATGTTAAGTTCGAACTTATATAAGAGGCTAGTGATTATTGGGGCTCATTGATGGTTCATCAAAGCCTCCAGTTGTGTTTTGTACAAAACAAGAGATTTTGTGAAGATGAAAGAACTCAATCCAACCCCACTTATAATGATTGGACATCTAAGGACCAGAACCTCATTGATTGGATTTGTTTAGAGGAACTTATTCCTAAAGTAGTTAATTTTCCAATTTCTGTAGCAGCATGGGAGGCCCTTCATGAATTATTTTCTCAAGAAGCAGAAACGTTATGCATCTTCGACGTTAGCTTCATCCTTGTAAAAAAACAATATCATTCTATAGCAAGATAAAAGCCCTATGTGATTGGTTTGCTATGTTGTAAGATCCTCTAAGTGAAAGGGATAGGGTCCAGTATGTCTTGAGAAGTTTAGGGGATGATTATAAAGCATATGTTTTCTTTGTGATGATGAAGAGTCCATTTCCCTTGTATAGTGAATTGTGGCCATTATTGTCGCAACATGAAGTATCATTCAATCTCAAAATCTCATTGGAAAAGTCTTTTACTACTGATTCTCATCCTATTTTATTGTGAAACAAAAATTGTTTTTTTTACGAGCAAATATTAATACAAGTTGGAATTCAAATCATGGAAGTGGTAGAGGATACAAAGTTAGGGAACGTCAAGGTCGAGGTAAAAAAGATCTATATATGGGTTTTTTTGGGTGAGTCAGTGGGGAGAGGGCCCCTACCCTTGTAGGAATTGAGCCTAGGATGTAGCATTGCAAATTGTCAAGCGCCGACCAATTAAGCCCGGGCTCTTTTCCTAAAACACGTGGTAAGTCAGTGGGGATTTGGGCCACTACCCTTTGGTGAGAATGGAGTCAGAGACCTCACCATGGGGCTCAACAATACTACCGCTAAGGCACCAGGCCTAAAACAAGCTCCAAGAATGTGTTTTCAATGTTTTCGTAATGCGTTAAACGAAAGGGGTTTTATCTGGGTAGCATTAAATCATTCATTGTTTGTTTGTCACTACAAGAAAGGTTTTACTATCATTTTGCTTCATGTTGATAACATTATAGTTATCTGGAGTTCTATGGACCTGATTGATGGTGTCAAGAACATTTTTCATGATAGATTTATGATAGAAGACCTAGTTCGGATGAGATACTTCCTGGGTATTGAAGTAGATCAAAATGAGAATCAAATTTGGTTGTCTCAACAAAAGTACGCTCTAGACCTTGAAAAGGTCAAATATGACTAGTTGCAGGCCATATTGTACACCAGTTTCACTATACAAAAGATTAAGGATATCTGAAGACAACTCCTCATCTATTTTCGAGTCAGCCGGAACTAAGTGACAATGCACCAAGAAAACCTCCTCACCCTTCTGGCACTTCCAGTTGGTATCCTTGAATAGAGGGGGTAATATACATGTGCTTGTTTAGAAAAAAAATGGCTCGAGGCCTTCAGCGTCCCTTTCCCTTGAGCTGGAATGACATCTACAACTTGTATCCTTTAACCCATCTTCCTCACAGGCCCTCGCGCTCTGAGCTCTCTCTTCCCTCTCTCCCCAATCCTTCTCCTTCCCCTTTTACCTCTAAGCCTAACCCACCTGTTAAGACTGGTCAACCTTCTTCTTATGCTCAGGTCATTGCTCGACCATATAGCATCCCTGCTTGCAGGGATGTGTCCCTAAGTAATCCCTCTCCCTCATCCTCCCCCTTAACCCAGTCGACCCCTTCAGGGTCCCCTCCCTTCGTACCTTCTCCTTTTCTCCCCTTTGTTGTTCAATCCCTTTCAGAGGAAGTTTCGGCGAACAGGACGAAGCTTCTGGCGTCGTTAGTAGGGAGCTTCCAACCTGCAAGGGATGACCTACGCGGAATCGAAAGATGGGTAAAAAGCTCCTTGAAGGAGCCCAATTTGACTTGCAGACGACTCCTAAGTGGAGACTACCTTTTCTCCTTTTCTTCTCCAAATGCAGCTCAGCACGCTTTACAGGTAGGTGCTCACCTTTCTTTTAAAGGGGCTGCGTGTTCTTTTCAGCCATGATCGCCAAAGGAGGGTTCCTTCAAGAAACAAAGCGTATGGCTTACCCTTGGTAACATTCCCCTTCATGCCTGGTCTCTTGTGACCTTCAGGAGAGTCGCAGCCACTTGTGGCACCGTAATTTCCATCTATTGGATTTCCCTTGAAACTCTTCCGCTGGGCTTCATTCGACTGCTCTTGGAAGTCTTAGACACTAGTTGGATTCCTCAAACTATCTGGCTAGAGGTCGAAGGCCTGTTCGACCCAGTCAACACTTTGTGGGAGCAAGCCTTCCCACCCTCTGCTCATTTCTTGCCTATTCCAATCCCTGAGCTTTCACCGGAAAATCCCTCCTAGCCTTGGACTGAGGTGATCAGGAAAAATCGGCATTGCAAGAGGCGTCGTTGGCGTCCGCCCGACCCGACCCAAGAGTCTGAGAGTTCCTGTTTTCGAATCGCAAGGACGAGGTTGAGCTGGCACCCACGTGCCAAGCCTCTTAATCCCACTAAGCCTTTTACCCTTTGGTGTCCCGTAGACCCGACCCTAGCAGTTGAACCCAGTATTGAGCCTTCTTCAACAGCCCTTTCCCCCCCTCATCATCGGGCCGATAAAGAGGCCTAGGTAGACGATTCACCTTCCCCTCCCCACTCGAGCTTAATCGATGGACCCAGCCCATCCTCTTTGTCCACCCCTCAGCCCGCCCCTCCCTCTTCCCTTCCCGCCACGCGTCCTTTCGAGCCTGCCAGCTCTTCCCTTGGGCAGCGAGCGCACCTTCCCCATCTTCACGTGCCTTTGTCCCCTCCTCCCCCGTTATCGTGCCCCCTTGTGCCTGCTTCTTCCTTATATGAGCGGTCTTCGCCACCCCTTTCCGTCGTCCATCTGTTCAGGCCTTCCTCCCCTTCTCTCGTGTCTGGGACACCTGTCACCCCGCCGCCTCCGCAGCCTCTGCCGCCCTCCCAGCTGTCTTAGCCTCGATCCCACCGGTCGCAGCCTACCCCTGATGATTACCGGCCGCCTTCCTCTCTTGATGGAAAAGACCACCAGTCGCCCTCTGTTGGGACTTCCCTCTCAACCTTCCCCAGCTCTTACTCCCCCGTAGTCGGTGACCCTCCGTCCTCTGCATATCCTTTCGCTGCCTTCGTCCTCTTGCCCCCCTTTGGTCCCTTTTTCTGTCCACTTCTTTCACTTTTCCCTGG